GTAATAAAACAATTGCTGATGTAACATTTCCCCTATAATTATTGCAAAAACACAAAATAAGTTTAAATAAGTATTTATATTTGTGTACAAACTGTTTATATTTTCAAAAAGCCTGTGTTTTTAGGGTTATTAACAAAGTTTGTGTACTCAGACCAGTAATATTTGGGGTCACATGTTTTTTCCATSGATATTTTGTGGGTCAGAAGATAAAAAGTTTGTGAACCACTGGTCTAAAAAGTCACTAGATCTAGTGACAAAGTCACTAAGTTGGCAACACTGATTAACACCACCAATGATCTCAGTCTAAACTTGGTGAGACTTCAACTTCCTGGCAGAGCAAAGCCTTTAGAGGTTAGAAAATTGATAATTTCATTTTGCAAAAACAGTAAAAATAAAGTGTTTTATGTTTTTGGTGCAATGACATGTAGAATTGTACAACGGTACAAACACTGCACAGTTCAAGGAAAGCTCTTTGTTACCTGTGCAGATCCAGCTCCAGGTAGGGGAAGATGAGTTTGTCCTTTATCAGATCCCAGATGACTCGGGTCATCTCATCTCCCTGCATCTCCACCACAGAGCCAGCCTGGATCTTCTGGGACATGTTTTATTGTTGTTGTGTTAAACCTGGGAAGAGGACGAGCCAATAGAGACGACAGACAAAACAACAAATATAATTTATTATTTTACAGTTATTTTTATCAAATAAAATTACTGATAAAAAGGCACCAGTGAAAGGTTTTTAGCGCCAGTGATTACTTTTATAATAATCCTCTTAACCTTTTTTTCTCAACTGTCCTTTTTTCTCTTAACTCTCCTTTTTTTCTCTCAACTGTCCTTTTTTCTCTTAACTGTCTTTTTTCTCTCTCAACTCTCCTTTTTTTCTCTCAACTGTCCTTTTTTTCTCTTAACTGTCTTTTTTCTCTCTCAACTCTCCTTTTTTTTCTCTCAACTGTCCTTTTTTTCTCTTAACTGTCTTTTTTCTCTCTCAACTCTCCTTTTTTTCTCACAACTGTCAATTTTTTCTCTTAACTGTCTTTTTTTCTCTTAACTGTCTTTTTTTTCTCTTAACTGTCTTTTTTTCTCTTAACTGTCTTTTTTTTCTCTTAACT